TAGCATATCTGCTTCTGTGAAGAAGCCTTATAACTGATAGTTTGTACACAGCGAGAGCCAAAGCAGAAAGACTTCTTCAACCAGACTTCCTTCTCTGATTGCTGTTGAAACACATTTAAATTAACCAGCCTTTGTCGAATCCCTACTACAAGCAAGGTGCTAGGTTTCTGGTCCATCCATCCCCGAGCTTCACCATGGTCCCAATCTTTCAGGTGTAAATAATGGCAGATCGAATACTCAGAGGAAAGAATTTGGCACAGCCACACTGCATGAGATTATAGGCTTCTGCAGAGGCGTATTAACCTGAATCCTTCTAGAAGTGTAAATATTAAAGCTATTAGAATTCTATTAGAGTCATGCACTCACTCTGCTCATTAACATGGGCTTTTGATTAAGACAAGAAAAAACTGCCCTAGCAGGTTTGGCTCAGTGGATAGAGCATCGGCCTGCAGACTGCAAGGTCCCAGGTTTGATTCCTGTCAAGGACACATGCCCGGGTTGTGGGCTCGATCCCCGCCCAGTGTGGGGCCTGGAGGAGGTAGCCAACCAATGATTCTCTCTCATCATTGATGTCTCTATCTCTCATCCTCTCCAAAATCAATAAAAATATATATTTTTAAAAAAGACAAGAAAAAACTGCATACTCCAAATTGGTTAAAAAAAAAACCAAAACACATATTTTTCCTCATTATTGTCTGAACATTGAGGACTCACTTTTATAAAAATATATAGTTCATTTCTGGTGTATTTTATCTGTATAATTTCATCAGAAAATTGAAATGCATGCATATATATTAGGACATTGTTATACCAAATGATGGAATAAAAAAAGCAGAGGCTACAAAGTAGTACCTGATACAGTTATATCAGCTAACAGTGAGACCTGGCTAGGTGCTTGCCTCTATTCTCAGGGCCCTAATGGATTAACTGGATTTGATGGGTTAACTCATTTAGTAGTCACGGCACACCCATAAGGTAGGTACTCTCACTAGTCCCATTTTAAACATCAGGAGACAGGAACAAAGAGGTTCAAGGTCAGTAGTGGTGTCAGAACTCTGCAGAACCCATGCTCTTGGCCACTATTATGTTGCCGCTCAGGAAGCACACATTCTACCTAGGCAGGTAAGAAAGACACATATTAAATACTAACAAAATTTCTTTTTTTTTTTTAAATAATATTACCTGGGACCTTTCAGTTCACAGGCCGACGCTCTATCCACTGAGCCAAACCGGTTTCGGCTACTAACAAAATTTCAACATAATATGTGATTTTTTTGTTGTTGTTGCAAAAATAGTCAATAATTACTATAAGGTCAAGGGAGGGAAAGGCAAGTTCTGCCTGGATGGACTTGACCAAAAATCAGACTGGCTTCTTCATTGCAACAACGATGCTGGAAGCAAGAGAGAGGTGACAATGCCCTCAAAATTTTGAAGGAAAATTATTTTAATCTATATTTTTATGCACAGCTAAAATAGTAATAAAATTTGAGAGCAAATACATATAACATCTCAAAAATATACCTCTTCCTCCCCATGCATCTATCTTAGGGTACCACTAGAGGATGTCCTCCACCAGAGCAAGAGAGTAAAAATTGATCTAGGAAGATGTGCAAAATTGAAAACAGGATATCAAAGTGCAGAGGAGAAATAGAGAGAACCCCCAGAAGAGCCACCGTGCTTCAGGGATGGGAGCCACCCAGACTGGAGCAGCATGACTCAGACATAGCTGCTGAGAGCCGTCATCACCATGCCCGTTGCTGCCGGAACATCATTCTAACTGGAGAAAACTGCCCAAGAGGCATGGCTCAGGGGTTGAGTGTCAACCTATGAACAAGGAGGTCATGGTTTGATTCCCGGTCAGGGCACATGCCTGGGTTGTAGGCTCAATCCCCAGTGTGGGGCGTGCAGGAGGCAGCCAATCAGTGATTCTCTCTCATCATTGATGTGTGTGTGTGTGTCTCTCTCTCTTCCTCTTTTTAAATAACTGGAGAAAACTCCTGCAGAATGTACTGAAACAAGGGTATGTACTAAGAAAGAGGAAGAGATGACCTCCAGGAAATAGGGAAGCCAATCTTGGAGAAAGGCAGCGGGGATTTCTAACTATGGTACAAGAGCAAAGGCCAGGAGGACAACTGAGCAGTGGGCCTAACAGGAAACCTGTCAGGAGAAGGAGGGATGCTTACAGTGTTTTGACCTGATATAAGTGACCTTAAGGAACATTGTACTGAGATGTTATTGGAAGTAGTAGTTGGAAAGTTGGAAAGTTTAACAAAAAGAAAAAAAGAGAAGCAAATGAAAAAGCAAGGTAATTCATAATTTTAGGAAAAACCAGAAGTAGAAAGGGAAAATAATCATAATGACTATGATGCTTTTTGTATGAATAATATTTGGATAACATATGAATGGAAATACTATATATGGATTTAATCTGATCATGTTGGGACGATAGCAGGAGAGATGGCAGCCTAAAAGAGCTACATCCTTTTTACCATAACAGGAAAGATACAACGTTTAATATGGATTCATAAACATGTGAATTTATTTAGAAATATGGAGATTTGAAAATGTCAGAAGAAAACTGCTAAAGGAGTCAAAAGTGGTTACTTCTGACAAACAAGACAATTTTTTAAACAAGCTTTTAGTATTATTTGACTTTTAAAATGACATGTATGAATGACTTTAAAAAAATAATAATTTAAAATGGTAAGGTTGCCCTTGTGAATTTTCCCAAAATGTTGGGTATCCAAAAGACTTTCAATAAAAGTTCTTCTTCTCATGGTGGTATTATTATTATTATTTATTATTATTATAATTGAAAGAGCCTTGGTTTGTTGTCAGATGATATTGAAACTAATGATATCAGCTGGTGACTCTTTCTGGGGATCTGAACAGGGAATTTAATTCACTGGACCTCAGTTTTTCATTTATAAAGCACATGTGTATAATCTCTTAGGCCTGGTCCAGACCTATTATGCTATGAATAGAAGCTTTCATGCAACACATAGACACTGACAGGGTGCTGTCACACATGGAAAACTTGGCTGCTTTTAACGTCCCGACTTTGATCTGGGCCATGGAGCCTAGAAGATGAGGAATGTCTTAATCATCGGTCCCAGAACATGAAAGGGGATCGTGAGAGGGGGTACCCAGCAGCACAAAAGACAGACTCAGACAATAGGATGCTAACCTCTTACCTTGAGTCTTACCTTGCAGAGCTGATATGTGATAATAGGATGATGTACTTGAATGCCCTTTGTAACCTGAAAACCCTACACAAGCCTAGGAGGGACCGATTGTATTGTTTGGGAAGGGGTGAGTGTACACTAGTGGGGAAAATTCTGGCTGGGGAGTTAAGACATTTGCGTTCTGGTAGTTGTCTCCAGGAGTAAATACTAAACTTCAGGAATTCTGGTCCCTCTTGTCAATCTAGGGAGGATGGGGATCTTTCCAGTTCCCGCCCTATCCCCAACTCCCAACGAAGACACCAGGGGGCGCTGACACCCTGGCAGCAACGCCGCTGGAGCCCTGGGTCTCCCCGCATCTCCTGCAAAGCTGCGCTGCCCGCCTGACCTCAGAGAATTGCGTTCAGTGAAGCGCAGAAGCAAAGCGGCGCCTCGCTCGCACCCCGCCCTGGGGCTGAGCCGGGGCCAACTTGGAAAGGGACCCGTGGACGCAGGGCGACGGCGGGGCTGGAGTGGATCCTTCCCACTCTCACCGCCGGATCCGCGGGGAAGTTCAGAGCATGGGCAAAGGGATGCAAACACCACGCGGATTCTGGGAAAGCAGAAGAGGTGGCTAACGGCGGTTGGGAGGGTTCGAATGTCGGAAGGACCCCTGGAAAGGCTTCCAACTCCACAGCCGCTTTCTGATTCTCAGCTTGGCGTGATAGAAGCAGGTTCCTTTTACGAGGACCACCTGCCCTTTCTCTCTCCATCACCGCCCTGGAGCGGTGGTGAAATACCCTCTTTTCAGTTTTCCAAGGCGAGAAAGAAAGTGTTGTCTACAATAATGGGTTCTTGCGAAATTCTCAGTTTCTATACCTCCCTCCCCAACATTTGTGCGCACATAACAAGCTCGACTGTAAATTACGCCGCGGTAGGGGTTGTTGGCACGGCTTAAAAATGGGCAACGACGACGGCTCTCTAAGGGGCCCAGGGGTGATAGTGCAGGGCTTTGGCGCGCCTCCTGCGTTTCTCATCTCAGGCGTAGATGTGCTTCAGATCTCGGAGGATGACCTGCATGGATCTGAACCACCAGGGTGTTTGATAAATGCAGCGTCCCGGGCCTCAGCCCACGTGTTGAAGGAGGATCTCTGTGAGTGGGGATCTGCAGGTTGGGAAGTCCAGCCACGGGAAACTATCGACATTTTTCCCTTTAAATCTACAGAAATATCCATTTCAACACCCCGGGTCATTCTCCGGCACATTACAGTTTGGACCTCGCTGCCTTGGCATTTCACAGCTCTTGTTAGAAGTTCGGAAAAGGAAGGGCGAGGAGAGGAGGCAGGGTACTCCTTTCCAGTGAGTGGTGCGTCCCCGAGCGCAGGGCCCCTGACGCGGGAGGGCACGGCTGGCCTTTGGGAATGGGAAAGTGGGCACACAGCACCCGAGGACCGGAGGGCTCCTGACCTTCCGGAGCTGCCGCAGGGCCGGGCTGGGCAGCCCCACACCAGCCCAGGGCGCTCAGGAGACGGAAGAAAAATTGTTATGGAAACAATAAGGATGTGGGCAAGAACCTGAAGCATGCTCTCTTTTTAGACAGACAACTAAAGATGAATGGCATCTTTTGGGGGCGGGGGGGGGAAGGGAGAGGAGGAGGAAATAAAGTGGGGGTGTCTGCAACTTAGGCCTGCCTCCCACCACCCCAACCTCCGCCCCCGCGGCCACCTTCCACTTTATAATTGGCCGCCCGCTGCCTGTCCTGTCCCCTTATCTGATCCGGGGCGCCCAGCGGGAGGGGAGCGGTGGAGAGGAGGCGGCGGCCCGGGGCAGACGGGAGTAGGAGCGGGAGAGGGTGAGGGAGGGAGGAAGAGAGGAGAGAGGCTAATTAAAAGGGGCCCCAGGCGGGAAGCGAGTGAGAGTCGTGCGCTGCCAAGAACGAACTCGCGTCGGAACTTGGATCTTCCCTGCGCGCCAGGAGGTCTCCAACCTGGGCTGGAACCTCGCCCTGCACAGGTCAGATCCCATCTTTCTCTGCCTTTCCTCGGGCTGGCTTTGAAAAGTCTATTCGCGCGGAAGGAAAAGGGGAGAGGGCGAGCCACCTGCAGATGCAATGCAATTTCTTGGACTTTGGCGCGCGCCCTGGATGGCCCGGGGACCTTTGGGTGGGATGAGGCCGTGCACCCCGAAGCCTCCTCGCGGGGGTCACTGCGCAGGGAGCTTGGACGCGCCGAGTGACGTGACCGCAAGGGCAGTGACGGTGCCTTCTTTTGCTCCAGGAGTTTTTCTCTCTACTGGGGTGCTGCGAGCGTGCGGCGGGCAGAAGAAGGTCGGGTCTGGCTTCCAGACGGTGGCGAAGCCAGAATTTCCCAGTAGAACCGGCTGAGTTAAGGCGGCAGTCTGGTGAAAAGGGGGCGTAGGGACTTGGAGAGCTGTATATACATAGAAAGCATGCTGTTTTTATTTAGACTGTATTGGGGATCACTTGAGAGAGCAGTCGATGGAGATCATGGGGGACCACGCACCCAGGCACTGCTTGGTTCCACCAGCGGTTAGCGCTGGAGGCAAAGAGGACCTCCAGGTGGAGCGCCTGGATGCAGGGTGCTGGTGGGAGCCGCGCGTCCACGTCTCTGCCTTCCAGATGCCTTGCGCGTTTTGCTTCGGGTGCAGCTCTGAGATGCACCACCAGGCTGTGTTGTTGGAAGGTCCTCTCTGCCCGGCTTTTCCACCCCTCCCCCCACTTTATCCCTCTGGACGCCTGCCCGCCTCCAGCCTCCTAATACGCGGCCTCTGGGCCAAGACGCATCCCGTGCGTGCGTGAGCCGAGCTTTGGCGTGCGGTGCAGTGCGCACAGGCAGGACAGGTTAGGGCCGGGCCCAGAGGAGCCCGCGCGGGGCCACCAGGTAAGGCTGGGCACCGCCTGCACGTCCAGGCCACAGGCACTCAGCCTTAGGAGCTGGGCTCTTGGGTCCTCTGCTGGAAGCACATCCTCTGGCGCGGGAGCTAGCTCAGCGTTGACCTGGGGTCGCCCCTTCTGCTTAGACTTCTGCTTAAGGAAAGTGCCCAAATGGGGCTTGTGTGCAGCTCTCACAGAGGCCCGGATTTCCCCCTGAGAATGAACCCTACCGAGAGCCCCATTCCCTTTGGAAGTTTTGGATTCCCTTCTGGAAGTTTCTGAGAGTCCGCTGCTGGCAGCAGCTGAAGGAGATGGGAGGGAACGGGAACAAAGAAATGTGGGGATAAGACTTTGGTGGTTCTGTAGGGAGTAGAAATGGAAAGCAGTTTCCCCATGAAAGGCTCTGGGGCTCCTCACCTCTGGAGGAAGGACTGGGGCACTTCCTAGTTGCAGCAGGTGATAAAGAGGCCCTAGGGCCCAGGCAAATCCAGCCAACAGGCTTAAGCTGGGGGCAATGAGGAGAACCGGTGTGCTTTTCTCAGGAGGTGGTCCTCTTCCACCCAGAGAACTCACTGGTAAATGTAGATGAATGAATGAATAGCACTTGGATTTTCGGTTTTTCCAAAAGAGCAATGTGGGCGGATTTCCTCTGTACATGTCCCCAATGTGTGGTTACTGTAAGACAAGCTTTAGGGTAGTTTTTTTTTTAATAGCTTTATTGAGATATACTTCATATACCATATAGGTGTACCATTCTGAGGTTTTTTAGTGTATTCACAGAGTTGTGCAACCATCACCACAATCCGTTTTAGAGCACTTTTATCACTCCAAAAGGAAACCCCATACCTGTTAGCAGTAACTCCCCATTTCTTCTCAACCTGCTCTCCCCCACCCCGCCAGCCCCTGGCAACCACTAATCTACTTTCTGTTGACATTTCATGTAAATGGAAGCATGCAATATGTGTGTGGTCCTTCGTGACTGGCTTCTTTCACCTAGAAAACTGTTTCCAAGGCTTATCCATGATGTTCAGGATTCTCTCTCTGCCAATACTGGGCAGGCATCTCCTCCTGCCTGGGGAGCCCTGAGCCAGGACCTGAACCTCCACTGCAGCCCTGACCTCCCGGGGGTCCCTTTGATAGGATAGGAGTCACACTGGTGAGGCTTCCTAGTAATTCCCTGGGCAGGACTAGTTGGAACCATTAGAATTCCTGGAGCAGTTTTGGGTCCCGAGCTTCAGGGTTGATGGGAGGAGCCCGTTGGCCCTTATCCTGCTGCTAACGGTCCAGCCGTCCAGCCGAGGACTTCAGAGAACTTTGGGGGCCTTCCGTGCATGACTTGGTCTTCAGAACCAGCCAGGGCTGGCCTTAAGAATGGGCTGAGCCAACTGGTATTGTTTGAGGGGAACTGGGGCAGCCCCAGTCCACCAGAGAGGCCCTTTGGATGTGTGCTCTCTTTGGCTTTTAAATACTTCCTCATTTCGCTTAATAAAGCACACACAGGCTCACACAGAGTGAAATGCAAAGCCTGTTTCAGCTGACAGTCTCTGCAGTTACATGGCTCTGGAGGCACATTTGCTGTCAGTTAATCCAAAAGCAGACAGATGACTGCTGTTTCCTGGCCCTTCGAGTGCAACCTAAGATTCCTTTCAAGGACAAGGTCCTGCCTGAATTGCTGCAGGCTGAGGTGGTGCTGTTTGAGCACCACTGAGCTAACAAAATATCTGGGATTATGAGTTTGTAGAGAACAAGGTCTTTGGTAAATGCACGGGATGGCTCCTGGGGGGAACAGAGAGGCCAGCCAGTGGGAGGAGGGGGTAGGGAAGAGGAAAGTGACAAAAGCAAACTTCCTCCTTAGTGCTGGATGTCAGGAAAACAATCTCTTCTTGCTCCTTCTGTAACTAAATAAATGTGGCAGGGATCCAGTTACTCTTCTATGTAAAATAAGCCTTAAATGAATACCAAACCTCATCCTGTTCCAGTGGGGTGGTGTGTGTGTGTGTGTGTGTGTGTGTGTGTGTGTGTGTTGGAATTGCTGGCTTTTTATATATATATTTATTTATTTATTGCGTTATCTGAACTTTTCTTTTCAGAAACACACTTGTTTCCCAATTAAGGATCACTGAGCTTCAGGGATATAAACTGCCTTGCCTGGGGTCACAACACCAGCCAGGGACAGCTGTCTGATTAAGAAAAGTATGTATGAGGTTTGAACTCAGATCCCGTTAGAATTGGTTTCCATCAGCTTCTTGGAGGAGGGTGGGGGAGGGGCATGTGACTGGAAATGGATGATGTCCACAGAGGCCATATAATCTATATTTGAAACGGATGAAAGGCAGACAGATATGGGTGAAATCTAAACCAGCTCATCTGTGTCTCATCCACGTTCCTTAATATTTCTGAGCTTCTCATCCAGAAAATGGTAGCATAGCAGCCATGTTATAGGGTTGTAAAATCTGAGATCATCTAGTACAGAGCCGGGAAGACAAAAATGCTTTCTCTTGTCTCCTGCTTCTTTTCTTCTTTCCATTCTTTTCCCCCTTTTACCACTTTCCCACCTCTCTTTCTCTGCTTGCTTACTGATTGATTGATTGATTGATTGATTGCAGGGATTGTGACAAGAAAGGCAATGGGAAGTTCTGAGATTTGAGTGTCTATTTAAGTCAGGCCCCAGAATCTAGGCTCCCTATTTCTGTAAGGTAATTCCTTATCAATGTTCTTGGCACTCTTTTCTGCCAATTGGGCGTTTGTTGGTGGAGCTAGCCTGGCAGGTGTCCCTGACTCTGAATGTTAGGGACCAGTGCTTGGTCTCTTTTCTACAAGAAATTGTCAGAGATGTTTATGGAAACTGATCCAGGAGGCTGGGCTTTGCTGAGTTGGTTTGAGTGTCTCTAGCTATAGGATGTGCTATAACTAGGGGGTACTCAGGGGACTCTGTATTGAATAAATATCTGCTCCTGGGTGGTTTTCCGTCTGATTTTATAGAGAGAAGCTCACTGAATTGATATATAAAAATGACACTTTACTGCAGGTCTGTTTTTCATTCCATTCTTCTTCTACTTCCAAGTCCTACCTCCTGCCTGTACTGAAACTGTGCTAAGCACTCAAAATGCAGTGGAGAATAAACCACTTTGGTAGATAGAAATGCAAATGGACAATTACAATGCAGTCTTAAGTGCTCCAGGATGGAATAGAAAGGTTACTATTGACGGAAACACAGGCGGAGCATCTGGCCCGGCTTGGAAGATCAAGGAAGGCTGTGCGAAGGATGGGGTGTCTTTGCTGAGAAGTGGGGCCACCCTTTGTATTACTTATAGGTATAGGTCAGTGGTCAGCAAACTCCTTAGTCAACAGAGCCAAATATCAACAGTACAACGATTGAAATTTCTTTTGAGAGCCAAATTTTTTAAACTTAAACTATATAGGTAGGTACATTGTTATTAACTTAATTAGGGTATTCCTAAGGCTTAGGAAGAGCCACACTGAAGGGGCCAAAGAGCCGCATGTGCCTCGCGAGCCGCAGTTTGCCGACCATGGGTATAGGTGGTAGCACATTCCTGAGTCAGGGAGCTGTCACTCCAATTTGCCGTACTTTGGGGATGTTTTAGCCTTTTATGGTGCAGAATTTAGAGCACCCAGTTTAAGACTGAGCAGTATTTCTGCTGGTTTCCAGTCAAATCTCTTGCATTTGAATAGTCCATAGGTCTTCCTGTGAATGTGGGAAAGGTGGTTCCTCTGGGCAGGCCTGTGCCTTTCGGAGAAGAAAACAGCACCCCTTCCTCTGGGTAACACAGCTTTACATACAACTTCGAGAGCATAATGTCTGCCAGCTTCAAGCATCACTCACTCTAGGCTGAGTGCAACTTGTGCAGTGCGTCCACTGTGAACTGTACACATCACCCCTGATCATTCAGTTTACTTTTCATTAAATCCATCAGTATTTATTGTTTGCCCATTATGTACTTTGAACCTTTATTTATTTTGTTTATCCTCGCCCAAAGGATATTTTTTCCATTGATTTTTAGAGAGAGTGGAAGGGAGGGAGAGATAGAGAGAGAGAGAGAGAGAGAGAGAGAGAGAGAAACATCCAATGTGAGAGACACACATCAATTGGTTGCCTCCT